AACAATTGAGCGTCAATATAAAAAAAATGTTACACATATGTAAAAAGGGGATGCTATCTTTCCAGACTTTACGGTATGTTTGTAAATCATATGATAACATTGTAACCAACCCAAATTAATCCAAAATTGATCATTAGACATTTTTAATAATAATAATTCATTACTAGACGATTTTTAATAATAATAATAAAGTAAAAATACTTTAAAGATCTACATTTTTTAAATCGATACAATTTTCTATGCAAAAATATTTATAAAAAGTATAAAAAAGATACATTTTCTGTCAAAAAAAAAAATATACATTTTACACATTATTAAAAAAAAATATTTTCTTCATATTCTTTTTCCTCTTCTTTTCTTTGCACTATTAAATACATTTTCATTTTTATCCCCTGATACAATTGATGTTACCGGTAAGGGTCATAGCATGAGCAAAAACAACCAGCAGCCAAAAAACAAGAAAAAATCAACAACTTCTGCCTGACGTGTGCGTTACAAATAAACAACAAAATAAAGAATTAAGAATGAATCACCTTGGTTATCAAAACTTTGTTGGCCATAATCACTTTGGTCATAATCTGAATATCAATTTTTTACGTCACAATCAATTCAATAATGACCACAACTATTTAACAAGAGATCAAATTTTGGTCATAGCAGTTCAGCTCATAACAAGTGCTACGGCAACAGCCGCAACAGCAAGTACAGAGGCAGCAGTTATAATAATAATTGTTAATCTACTAGTTGTTTCCTTGTTAGTTATGATAAAAATAAGATTTGATAATAACAACAACAACAATAATAATAATATAATTCCTTGATTTAATTAAATTTTTTTTTTGTTTAAAAAAACGAAGTCTCTATGTAGTTTTAATAAAGTTATTTTTCTTTCAAAAATAAATCTTATTATAAAAGCTATAGTTAGAGCGTTCAGAAAAATACGTAGTTATTTTGCCTCTAAGCGATAATTTTTTTTAATGGTGATCTTTCCTGATTAAGAACTCATTCAGCTAAAATATTTAATGGATAAAAAGGACAAATACATATGTAAACTCGATAAGTCGGTCATGTGGGGGTGAGCTCATATGACCGATTTATCGAGTAAACCGACTTATCGAGTAAACCGACTTATCGAGTAAACCGACTTATCGAGTAAACCGACTTATCGAATTAAATTACTTAAATATTAAGAAAATGGGGTGAAAATTTTGGCCGA